TTAAATTTTTTTAATGAGAATAAAATTATATTTTTTTATTAAATTAGTTTTAAATTAAATCAAATATTTTTTTATCAGAATTAAATTATATTATTATGATCTTTGCTTCAAGCTTAAAGTATTAGCATTTTTAAAGCAAAAAAATCAATCATTACAATAAAATAAAAACAAAATTAAAATAAATTTTTAACTTCAAATTTTTTTCATTAGTAAATAGTGCTTATATCTAACATGATTGTCATTGAAACTTTTGTAACAAATATTTTTACATAATCGTCATTCAAAAGTTAAAGTGTTTTTTATTTTTTAATTATTTCTTTTATCCTACCGCCTATAAAATAATTTAAAAGTTAAAAAATATATATAATTAGTAAAAATCTTGTTTTATGAAACATGAGTAATTTTTATAGCAGTGTTTCGTTAAACAATTGCTTTAGTATTAAATATTCAGTTGAAATAGTATCTGCAAAGAAGAGTATCTGAAAACAAGAGTAATATATTATCATTAACTAATTAACATAAGAGGTTTTTGAAATGATTTTAATGATCAAGAGATAAAGTTTGGGCTAGTTTTTCTTCTTTAACTTCAGATATAAAAGTTCCTATTTCATTATTATTCAAAATTATTGTGTGTAATTAAGAACATAATCTCAACTGTACTTATTTTTTCACTCAATCTTTTTTTTGATTTTTCTCAAAGCTTTTCCTACCATTTGCGAAGTCATTGCAATGAAATGAATCATTTTTAAATAAATTAAAAATTATCAATTGCCTGTTTGCACTTTAAAAAAAAGCATTGATTTTATCTAAAATTGTTATTAATAAAATAATATGAATTCGTTAGCCTTCAAGCATCAACATATATAGTATTTATAAAGTTTAGTCAAGAAGAACTATTTATAAGATTTAATCAGAGAAAAAAATATAAAAATCTAAACAAAGTAAAAAATTCAAATTTTGATTGTCCAAAAAAAAACATTTGACCGATAAATCTTTAAGTTTGCCAGTCGAATTGACTGCTTGCATTCGATTCCTTATTTTTTACGCTGATATATATATATATATATCTGGGCGCGACAAATCAACAAACAGGCAAACATTTGCTTAAAAAAAGACAGAAAAACAAACGTCGAGTTTCTTTACTTTTTCTTAGACAAATATTAGCATTTGTTTAAAACTTTTCAAAACAAACGCATTACTTTAACAATTTTTTTTTCCAAACAATAACAAAGCAATGGATTGTATTTAAAAACACATAATTGTAGTAAAACACATAATTGCAATAAAAACAATTAATTATGAAAATTTTAAACGCATAATTAATTTTAAGTAGTTCTTAAGACTGCATCGAAATCAGTTTTAAGAACTACTGAGAATAACCAAGAAGAATTGAACAGACTTTTTCGGATATCGTATTTTATTGTTAAAGAGGATCTTGCTTATAAAAAATTTCCTCAGCTGTGCGAGCTACAAAAGCTAAATGGAATTAAGTTTAGAAAGAACTAAGTGACAAAGCTTCCAAAAACTTTCATCAATTTCATCTGACTGAAAATGTGACTTAAGTTTAGATGTATCAAATGCTCGTTTTATTGCAAATTTTTCTGACGGGTCTACTGATAAGAGTATTAGTGAACAAGAAACAGTTTTTTTAAGATTTGCTGGTATTAACTCACTACTGACAGTTGATGTTGATGTTATATTAAATGCAATAGAATTTGTTTTAAAATGTTTAACAACAGATAAAATGAATCAAGATTTATATTTAAACAATATCTATGCAAAAATTGTAAATGTTAACTTTGATGTTGCAACTGTAATATCTAGCAATAAAGCTGTTGTTCAAACTAAAACCCAAAAAACAAATGATTATTTTGATTATTTTAATAAAAAATATTTTATTAAAGTTTTAGAAATTCTTAAATATTAATATAAATATTACTATATAAATATATAAATACTAATATATAAATATTAATATATAAATACTAATATATAAAATACTAATATATAAATGCGGTAGTGGTGTAGTGGTAGAGCGCTCGCTTCATAAACGAGTGGTTCCGAGTTCGATCCCCACCACGTCCCTGGTAGTACCGCGCTCAACTCGTTTCTCCGCGCAGCGGCCTTGCTTGTCAAGGTTCGTGTTTCGGAGTTATAGAGTTGAGAGAGGGTTATAACCACAAATAAGTAGCCTCCTCGTCTGTAGTGGCCCTCTCGGCCTTGAGGAGGTGAATTAAAATAAAAAAAAAAAATAAAAAAAAAATATTAATATATAAAGACATCATTTTGCAATTTTTATTTCTTTAGTTCCTTTTATTTTAATTTTTTAACGTTTGTAAATATATTTTATGAGTAAATAAATTTAACAAAATAAATTGAAAAAAAAGTTTTGTATCAGTTTACAATCATTGCATATTATTAATTTTTGCGCACTTTGCAAATGAGTGAGAAATTGTTTTGAAAATATGACAATTGATTAAGTTCAATAAGCATCTTTGATATATCTAATAACTTATTAACTAGAATAAAAATTTATTTGAAAATAAAACTCCCTTATTTGACATGTTTCTCTTAAATTAGATGTTTGTCAATAATTGAAGATACAATATAATACTCATAAGTATATATATAAAATACTCGTAAGTAAGGCATAATGCAGCAGGATTCCATTCCGTAACCTTTTTATAAAGTATAAACCACCTTGCCACCTTTTTTTTAAATTTCTTAATATAACAATGATTAGATCTGTTATTTTTAATTTTACTGAAAACCATTTAGTAACCAGCTGAAAAGCAAGGAAATGGCGAGAAAGATTCGCAGCACTTTTTTAATAAAAAATGTAAACAAAAGTGTATGCAAATATCTAACTTGTGTAAACTTCAAATTATGAAATTATGCAATGTTAAAAAATATATCAAGTTTTACTTTAATAAACAACTGCATTTCGGCAACATCTTAATTTTAATTTATAGAAATTGTTAATGTTTTATAAAGTTTTTTGTTTATTAAATAGCATTATGTTTATTATATACCTTTCACAAACAATACACTTTAGTGGCTAAAGTGGTTAGCTCACAGAGTTTCTGAAACAAAGTGTAATGGTTCAAATCTTACCACTAGAACTTTTTTTTTAATATTTTTTGATTTTTCTAAAATACAAAATAACACACTTTTGAAGTTTTATAGATATTGCAGTGGTGTACACTGGATTTTTAGATGTTTGAGTTTTGACACTTACACACATTTTGCAAACTCCAAACTTTTGTATTTTCATACTTATGTCAAATGAGAATGTTTTGCAAAAAGTTGTGGTGATTGGAGCTTGGGGACAAAAAAAAAAACAATTTTCGGGCCCACCCAGTCCTTAACATGGAAGCAACAAGTTGATCAAATATTTTTTTTAGTATTTTTATCTAAGTTTATATTCATCAACAAATTTCAAATTTCATGCAATAACCTTACTTGAAATATGCATTGTCTGTCTGATGACTGTACTTAAAAGATGACATCAAAAACCTCATCTTCTAAGTACAATCAACAGACAGGCACTGAATTACCTTGCTTTAGTTAAGCAGAATTTTATAAATGCAAATATAATCATTACATAATTATGATAATTATAAGTTTATAATAGAATTAGTAAATAAAAAACTTACTTTTCTTTTTATTTCAAACAAAGATATGCAGAAAGAAAGATTTATTTTAATACTTGGTGTTAAATAAATTGACAATATTTTATCATAAATCTTTTTCTTGGTCAAGGCTATATCTTTATATTAAAGCTATTCTGTAAAATTTCAGTTTACATTTTACATCAGTTTATATTATTACAGCTTATTAAACATTTTTTTTTTAGTATATTTTAAAAAGTAAAATTTTTTTTGAATGTTTGAAGTTTTTTTATTTTTTTTAAATTTATTTTATACTTGTTCAAAGTTGCTGTATAATATAAAATTATTACACAATAAATTATTGTGAAATAATATTTATTTTATGTAATTAACTCTATGAGAATAAGAAAATATAAAACTTATAAGCAACTTTTATAGCTTTTTGTTTATCAAATATTCTATTGAATAAGTAAAATTTTTAATGAATAATGTAAATTGATAAGTTGATAGCTTGTGTAAAAACCAAAAAAAAATGTTAGTCTAAAGAATTTTTTCAAAAACTGAATTTTCACGACATAATAAACAATACTCGTTATACCTACATTATTGTAACAACAACTCTGGTTTAAATAGTTTAAACAGAAAGTGAACAAGAATAAAATTTTTATGGTGTAATCTTTTAGTTATTTTTATAGATTTTTCTATGAGTTATTTTATTTTTATTTTTATTTATTTACTAATAATTTATTATCATTATTATAATGTTAAAATGGAAAGAAGTCATCAAAAAAATAAACAACAATTGTGAAAAAAAAAATAAATCTAAATAAACAACAAATGTAAAATTGCATTTTTATATAATATTTTCTAAAGAAATTATTTTTTTTTAACTGAAATTTCAAATTTAGTTGCGGTAAAATGTTTGCCGAAATGTTGGTTTGGGTGTAGAATTAGTAAACAAAAAATTTTGTTTTTTTTCACTTTTGACATAATTCCTGTTTCGGTCAATCACTATAGCTTGCGCAAATAACTAAAGGTTCTTATAAAAGGCTGTTTAAGAGTCGCATGGCTAGCCATGTTTGTTTTAAAAGTGCATTTTTCTGCTCTTGCAAATACTTAATCCTTTGAGGTCAGCATGATTATATATTTATATATGTATGTATGTATAATATTTTGCCAGTTTTAAAACACCTAACCATCATTATATTAAGAAAGTTATAAAAAAGTGGCTGGATAACACCTCAACTTGAAACTCATCAAACACTGTATATACATATATTAAACTTTCATCCTAATTTAAAACATGCATTTCCCTACAAAAGTCATTAAACTATTTCTTTATAAAATACTATTAATTTTTTATAAAAACCTATTTAAAAAAAAATATACCTGAAATACACCTATATTTCCTCCAATGTCACTGTGCAAGGTTTGCTTACTCTCTGTTCTTTCAATCTAAAAACCATCAAACCATAAAATACAATACTCAAAGTATGTTCATATTATAAACATCATTTTTTATTAATAAACATTTAAAAATAAAATAAAACAATTATTCTAATTAGAAAAGAAAAAGACTCAAGGATTTTATTGTGGCGTTAAATCTAATAAATATTTCAATTAAATGTTACAATCAATACCAATAAATTATAAATCAAGAGAAACATTTGACTGCAAATGATTTCTTTAAAACATTTTTTTTTAAGTGAATTAACTATTGAATATTATAAATTTGAGCATTATAAGGTTACTTTACAGCACAAGTACTTCCAAAGACACTTTGAAATCTGCTTCGTTTGCGACCAAACTTAATATCATAGAAATCAATTCTCCAATTCTCCAACCATAAAGAAGACTCAAAAGAATGTTGTCTAAAAATTAGAATTTGAAACTTTTTCAGTCTCTGAATAATAAACTAAAATGTAGCCAAATGAAATAGCCTAAAGTTTTGTTTATTTTTTTTTTACAGGAAAAATATTTTTAATTCTTTTTTTAATGTTGCAAAGAACTTTGAGCTGTTTCTTGTCATTTTAGCTTAATATGTTTCTGCGCACACCGGCCTTGTTTGTCAAGGTTTGTGTTTCAGAGTTATAGAGTTGATTGTCACCACAATTAAAAGCCTCCTTATTTGTTGTAATCGTAATTAAAAGTATCCTTCTCGACTGAAGTATCCTTCATGACTTTTGGGAGGTCATGATGAATACTTGGGAGTATATATATATATATATATATATATATATATATTATATATATATATATATATATATATATATATATATATATATATATATATATATATATATATATATATATATATATATATATATATATATATATATATATATATATATATAGATATAGATATAGATATAGATATAGATATAAATATACATATATATATATATAAATATACATATATATATATATATATATATATATATATATATATATATATATATATATATATATATATATATATATATATATATGTATATATATATATATGTATATGTATATATATATATATATATATATATATATATATATATATATATATATATATATATATATATATATATTGGGTGATCCTGCCGCCCCATAGTATTTAAACCTTTGAGTAAACAAGCCTGACTTTTTTTTGGTGAGGAGGATACTTCTAACTAAGAATTAGGAAAAATTTGAACGTAATTGGACAATGTTTAGTGGTAGCAGATTTTATTCAAAGTATTCTATTTGGGTACAAAAATTGAAAATTTTCAATTTTTAGCATACAAATCTAATAATTTATATTTTTTACTGATCTAATTTAAAGAAGATTTTCGGTATATGGGAGTAGGATTAAAAAAAAAAAAGAATTAGGTGTGCTTTTTAGGGAGGGACGGTAAAAAAGGGGAGGAGTGGTTATTTATTTTACACAAATAAAAAAAAAATGTTTAATAAGTTAAAGATTTTAACATTAAATTTAAAATATAAAGAAAGAAAAACAAATGTTATAATAACATTTACATGTGTAACAACATAAAAAGTAACACTTCTAAATAAAAATTAGAAAAAATAAATAATCCAATCAGAATTTAAAGTATTATCTGATTGGTTCTAAGTGCCTTTTTCTTTGGTTGGGCAACATATTTCTGTTGTTTTCTACAACTTGTATAATGTTTTGGAACTTATTTACTTTCTTAGCAGTTCCCACAAAGTCATTACAAAGATTTACTCCACGTTCAGCAGAATCGTTTACAACACATAAATTAGAAACCACATTTTTTGAAGCTAGAAAATTTTCGTTTTTTTGCCATTCCGTAACCGGTTCCCTGAGAAAACTACTATTTATATTTAATATGGTGAAAAATACTGGTGAGTCTTCACCAATTAAATCAGTTAAATCATTTACAATCATTTTAGGAACCATTGGAAATATAGGTTTACCAAACCCTGAACCTTTCCTTTGTGAAGTTATTTCATTTAATGTCTTATAACTTTTTAGTAGGGATGTACCGAAGCTTCGGCTTCGGCATGCCGAAGCTTCGGCAATTTTGCCGAAGCTTCGGTTCAGCCAAAGCCAGGTCAATTTTTTGCCGAATCTTTGGCTTCAGCAAAAAATTTTAAGTAATTAAAGTTATAAGCTACTGTTGTACAAGTTATAAAAATATGCTAATTGCTAGTGTTTAATTAAGTTGTAAATTTAGGACTACAGAGTTAAAGTTGGAGTCTATACCATATACTTAGTATTATTTACTCCCAAATGTCTTGTTATGGAGGGGATGATAATAAATAAGTAGAAATATTTTGAATATAATAGTAAAATTAAGGAAGGTCCTCATAAATTTTGAAGGCTTCCAAGTGTGACTTTAGATGAACTGAATCAGCATTTTTATGCAGAATAAAAACCTTATAATTTAAAACAAATTAAAACTTTTTAAAAATAAAATGGAAAAAAAACCTTAAGTTGTATTATGTAACGAATTTATATTAATTTTTGTGTAAGATTACTGCAAATAGAACAAAAATTTGTTTTAACATTCGATCTATATACCTTAGTAATCTCACTTTAAAGAAGATTAAAGATACGTTGCTACTATTTTAAATTCTGTGTATGTTTAATTTTTTTAAATTTTATTTAACCATAATAATAAAAATTTACAAATTTTTATCGTAAGATTACAGAAATTGGTTAGGTGTCACTTATATAGTTACAAACTAGTCAATGGACACATAAAAAACATAAAGTTCTCAACAACAAAAAAGGAAGAAAAGCAAATGAAATATAAATGAAGAGAATAAAAAAAGAAAAAAGAAGTTAGAGAGAAATCTATCAATTGTACTTTTTTTTAGCAGCAGGTTCACAACAGTTGTAGTGGAATACAAAATGGTCTTAACTTGGGTTTTTTTTAGTTTAGAAATTGTTCGTTTAATGAATACAGAGAAGTAAAAAAAAGATATTGAAATAAATAGCAATAAAAAGATAAAGTGTGTTTGTAAGATTTTTTATGTTGTAGATACAACTAGATCAGCTAAGAGTGTTTATTTAGAGAAAGAGTGTTCAAATGTAAAAGATAAATTTACTTGAGTAATATTCAGAGATTTTTATCCACTCTTAACAAAAGGTGCATTAAAAATAAAAATAAAATATACAGCACATGAAAAGATGCGCAACAGTAATTTATGGAGAATAAAATTTGAGGATGTTCAGCTAGCACACAATAATTAGATAGAGCAAACAAGATGATTAAATAGAGGATTAAAAATTAGATGATTAGATAGAGGATTAAAGAGAAACGATGTTTACATAGAAGAACAGTATGGCTATAAAAGATCAAAAAAATAGCAATAATCTTAGAAGAATATTGGGAATAGTTGGAAATATATGTGAGTTACTGATATTGTGCACTATATAACATTAATATGGTTTGCACACAGAAAAAGTAGAACTAGAAGTAGGAAAATTTGGGGAGAATGTTTCAAAAAAGCTTAAGTTTTAAAAAAAAACACTAAGTGCGGTGAAGTATCAGAAATGACATAATGAGAAACTTTCAAACAGGGGCGCTGAGAGCTTTTGCCCTGCCTGGGGCAGCAACCCTGACTTGTGTCCTCATTTTTATACATTTTTTCTATATTATTAGTCAAAGATCTTAGTTTTGGAACCTTTTTTGTTTTACACCCCCGCTGATCTGAATGCTGATTAAATTTTAAGCATATATAGTGCCGAAGCTTCGGCTTCGGCCGATGCTTCGGCCGATGCTTCGGCTTCGGCAAAATTTTAGCTTCGGTACATCCCTACTTTTTAGTGATAGTATTTTATTTGCTATCTTTTGTTTCTGCTTGTCCTCTAGGTTATTATTAAATAGAAACAGTGGAGCTAACTCCTCAGTGAGATACCACATGTGATCGCTGAAAGCTTTCAGAGCAGCATTAGCAATAGATAAATCAATAACTTTAAACTCTAATAACAAATTGATAAGATTTATATCGTTAGTAGGAGCTGCTGAAGATATAGGTGCACTAAGCCACCATGAAATATAACAAAATACAACAAATTGAACAATCTTTTGTAGCTTAGGGAATTGTTGTAGAGCAAAAATTGTTCCTTTAGGGAGCTAGCTGATTTTTTTGTTCAACAGTACAAGTTTTATAGAATATAACAATTTTGCCATCCACCTTGCATTGTGCAAAGCCCCTGGCCTAATAAACCCAGAGAATACCACATTTTGCCCATTGCTTAGATACAACAATGTTAGTTGAACAAGTTCTCTGTAGTCATCTCTGTTGAAGTTTTGCCTCATTACTTCTTGGGAAAGATTGGTAATGGCATCTTTTTGTTAATCAAAGACTGTGAAATTTGAGGGATATCAAGGTCTTCAATAGTTTGGCAATTCAGATGTTCAAAGTTTTTCATAAATCTAAAAACCAAACAATGTCATTATTTTGTTGCTTATAACACTGATGTTATTTTAATTTTAAATGATAAATAATAATAAAACATTTGACTAAATATGTAGATTACTTTAAAAATAGACTGATATTAGGATCTTTTGAAACCTCTATCTCCAAACTGTTTCATACATGAGTTAGTATAATCTCTCCTATGTGATGTCGACAAGCAAGCCACAGAAGTGGTCGGTTCAATACATTTTGCATTGAAACAAAGCTTGCTGTTATATCCCCAGTATTTGATGCTGTTGTGTCAAAAACCATGCCAGCCACACAACCTGTGCAGTTCCAATTTTTAAGTAATTCATATGCTGCCTTAGCAATCACTGGATCCATCTTCTTTGTGGACTAATATAACAGTGCTGGTATACCCAGTAAATTTACACCTGAACAACCTAAAAATATATATTTTTGAAATATAAATAGAACCAATTTTAACTGACTTAGTAACAAATCTATTAACTAATATGTAAATTGTTCATTAGTTCCTAATATTACATGAATTGGCTCGCCCAAGTTTTATTTTATAGCTGCCTGAAACAAGAATAGGAAGCCTTTCTTCCCTGACATTTTTGTTGTCAAGTGAATCCATTAACTTGAACTACGCCAACTTTTGGAGATTTCCAGGAGCTCTTTATCTTGGTAGCAATTGTCTGCACACACTCCATTTTGTTTCTAATAGGTTTAATGTAAAAAATGCATAGGTAAAAACATTGATGATTGAATTATACTTTTGGATCCATCCAAAGTAAAATTAACCAAAAATTCTATCTAAAGTATCTAAAGTAAAATATTTCTACTACAATAGAAAGTAATATTTCAAACAAAACAAGAAATTTCTATTTTAATCTATTTCTATTATAATTAATAATAATAATAATAATAATAATAATAATAATAATAATAATAATAATAATAGTAATAATAATAATAGCAATAATAA